GTGTCTCAGCTTGGGCTGAGTGTGCAAGTTCCCAAGGAGTGGCTGGTGAGCTTGAATCACCGACCTTGCAGTTCAAAAGGCTTTGCAGTGTGGTGCCTTAATCCACAGAGCTACACCGGGACTCCTGTCAAACCAGTGAAATAAAGCAGACCCAAATAGGAAGCACATCTCTGCATCTCAGCTTGGGCTGAGTGTGTGGGTTCCTGGCAGAAGAAACCACCAGCGGTGAGGGTGGGTCACAACCTCTTGGCTAAGCCCCTGCCTCTATTCACCCGAATGGAGGTGGGCAAACAATGAGTGCACCAATTACCTGACACCAACGAAAAAAATAAAATTGGAACCACGCAAAATTGGCAAAATATATTGTGCACCTTTCTTTTTTCCAAGGTTCCCATGGCGTGTTTCCGTGGCATCTCTGTGGCCCCTATTTGGTCCCGCCACTTGGTCTTGCCCAGGATGTTGGCTCAGACCTCTGAGCCCAGCCAGCAGATTTAAAAGTACGTGATTTTTTACTTCAGCTCCAAATTCCACAGGCTATAAGCCTTCACACCTTTAAAGTATTCCTATCTCTGTGAGTCTGAGTTTTGGAGCTCTGTCCTGCCTCTTTTTTGCCTGGAATTCTGAGTTATTGCTGATGGTGACCTTCACTACACCTCCACCTTAGCCGCCATCAAGTCCCGCCCCCATTATCTTTTAATCCATTAGTCTACAAACTTTATTAAGTCCCCTCATATTATTCCATAATTAAGAGAGCCAGTAAGTATTCTGTATGGTCTTGTATAGAAGGATGTCTGTAGGGAGTGGGGTGGGGTGACAATATGAGTTACCACAGTGGGTGACACCAACCTTAGTGATGCCACTATTTGTATAGATGTTAATTGAATATATAAATATACTTACTTTCCAAGAGCAAAACACTCTAAAGTCACATTCTGGCCCATCAATGTATATATGTCCTTGAATTGAACTACAATATCAGCAGGATATGGTTTTGTTGTTCCTGATATTAAAAGAGACACAAATATTCATCAATTATTAAACAATAATGTTTTTCAGTTTAAAGCATTGTGATTTTTAGATGTTAGAATTGCTTCCGTATGAAGGACTTTTTTCTCTACAAGGATTGGAAAGCATCCTATCCAGTCACATTGTATGGGCTGGCTTGTTTTTATATATCATGTATATAGCACGAAGCTAATTATTTTCAGTTATATTGGCTACTTTTACATAACAATCTGGTTAAATTCATCAAGAAAATTTAAGAAGTCCTTAAATAGCATCAAATATGTGTAAGTTGTACAGGACACAGGAACTGAGAAAAAGAAGAAGGAAAATGAAAGATTAAGGAAGAAAGAAGGGTAAGGGGAGTAGAAGAGGAAGCAAAGCCAAAAAAAAAAAAAAAAAAACTGGGGGTAAAAAGAAAAAAGAAAGATGTGCCCATGGATATGAAGGCAAACGGGAAACAAGTTGAAAAACAAGAGGAGAGAAAAAAGAGAAACATTTATTCAACGGCACTGTGCTAATCAAAGATAGTTTTTTACCCATTTATTTTGTATAACAGTTCTGAAAGATGTGTTACAATCTCACTTTTACAAGAGGTAAACAAGCTCAAAATGATAAAATATGTATTTAAGGTCCCAATGACATTACATTGTGCAAGAGGAAGAGACAAATGTTCATAGGTGTATAAATACCCAAACAACAAATCAAAACAAAATGAGTTTGGAAGAGAGGTAGCCAAGGAGAGTCACTGGTAGTGTGCTGGAGCTGTGGGAATTTCCTGCAGGATGGCATTTGAACTAGACCAATTTGGAATGAAGAAATAGCATATTATAACAAGTTCCAGGAATGGAAAGAATAAAGGTCTAGGAACTCAAACAATGTTGAAGTAAATGTAGTTGAAGATGCACTTGAATCTATAATCTGGGAGACCTGAATATGTGACAATAGAGTTTGAGATTAATCTCCTCAGTGGGTAACTACCAATTAGCAATTACGAATGGGTTTTAGAAAGAGGAGTAAAGTAAAATCTTATATTTGAATTAAGTAAGGGGTCTTATTGGCAAACTTAAAATGTAGGTCATGAAAAAAAAAAGCATCTTCAGGAGTCAGATATCTAAGGAAGGCTGATTCATTAATCCAGACAATACAGGTGAGGGTCTAAATTAGGGCACAGCCATAGCTGGAACTAAAGTGAAAAACAGATACAAATTGTATTTAAAAGAAGAATCAGTGGACACCTGCTGTAATGAATGTTACTCAAGGTGTAGACCAAAACCCAAATTCATTAGAATCACCTGGGATATTTGTTGACCTTGCTGATTTTTTTATTGATTCTGATCCCAGGCCTACTGAATCAGTATCCCTGCATTTTACATTTACTCAAAACTGTATTAAAAACATTTAAAACTACTGAATTAGCTATCTTGAAGATCAGGAGGAAAGAGGGTCTAATGATTAAAAATGCTACTCTGTGTTACTAGAAATATGATAATATTGCTAAATGAGGTAAAGAACAACAGAATAGGATTAGATTTAGAGGAATGATAGCAGGTAGATTGGAACACTTTGAGCTTAATGTCTTGAGAGGTGTGTTACAAGCTAACTAGAATTAAGATCAAAAGGTAATTAGAATTAAGTTTGAAATCAGAATACTCAGGGAAGTTTTAAAGATATGAATTTGGAGCCATCTGCTTAAAATTACTGTTGAAAATGTGTACGTCAATAAAAGTATCCCGAAAAAGGTGAGATAGAAGGAGGATATGGACAGAAGGATACTAGAAATCCTAATGACACCGTGGTTAAACAGTGAAGAAACAGCATATAACAAGTTCCAGGAGTGGAAAGAATAAAGATCTAGCAACTTGGCTGTTATTGAAAAGGTAGGATCCCTTTAGGGCGGTTATGCTTTATCCTATAGGCTCACTATGAGTCCGAATGGACTGGACAGCAAGTTTTTGTTTTGTTTTGTTTTGTTTTGGAAGGATGGTGTTGTTAAGTGCCATCGAGTCGGTTCTGACTCATAACCACCCTGTATGGGGTTCTGAGGAACAGGTGGTGAGTTTGAACTGCCAACCTTGCAGTTCAAACCAACCTTGTCGTCAAGTACTTATCCTACAGTGGAATAGAAGAAAATGGAATAGAAACAGGTGAGAGGTCAAAAGAATATGGAATGAATAAGGTAAATTAGGAGAAAGGAGATATCAACAAGGCATGAGAGATTAAAGTGTCAAAATTCAAATAGGATAAGTACTAAAGAGTGTCCTTTGGACTTGGTAAAGAGAAGTCATTGTAATTATTCAATAATTATTTGCTTTGAAGAGGGAACAATAAGCAAAGCAAAAGAGGGTGAGGCCAAGTTTCAATATTCAGAGTAGAATAGAAATAAATCATCTAGTGTAGGCCCTGAATGAATCAAATGAGGTATGGCCCAGAGAAACTGGAAGAATTTGCTTGAACAGGAGGAGAAAGGGACATTTCTTCCACTGAGACAGGAAATTTAAAAAATAGGAGCGGAATTACTTATGTATTTCTGTGGGAGAATAGGGAAGACAGTCAAGGGAGATTTTGCATGATGGCTTCTTGTCACTGTGATATAGGAAGTGAGAGCATCCTCCAAGAGTGTAAAGAAACAAGGAAAGTCAGAGTTAGCACATATATACTACATAGCATGCCAAATATGTGGCTATGATCTTGAGGACAGCAATTAAAGTGGAATCTCAGTATACTATGACACTTTCTCCACTGCCCTATAATATTTAGAGGCAGAGGCAGGAGCTAACCCTAAGTCTGTTGATCTGAAACTGCTGTTTCCCTAAGGAGCTTGAACTCAGTGATAGAGTGTAGAAACAGGACTGGAAGCAGGGGATACATTAAGAAAAGGGAGGTAGTTCAATTGGATCCTGGCAGAACACTAATCAGTATGTCAGTAATTATCTAATGTGGTATCCCGCAGCAGCATCCTTTATAACAAAGGCCATTCATTCACATTTTTGCGTCATGTACTAGGAGCTCTGGTAGCGTAGTGGTTACGACTCGGGCTGTGAACCGCAAGGTCAGCAGTTCGAAACTACCAGCTGCTCCGCGGGAGAAAGATGAGGCTTTCTACTCCCGTAAAGATTTACACCCTC